TTACCATTACCCTTAAATTTGGTTTGATTTTTTAAAAATAAAAAATTGTAATTTGTAACCGCTATAAAAGATATAAAATCGTTGCAAATAGTAGACAACCGCTAGAAAATTCTCGCTAATATCTATAAATACTATCTCACCTCCTCATTCATTTACTCCATTTCTTTTTCTTCCTCTCTTCTTCTTCTTTATAATTCTCTATTTTCTTTTTGCTCTCTCACATGGTAGTTTTTCTCTCTTATTTATATGGTAAGATGATATTTATTTTATAAATCTTAATTTCTTTTATTTATCTTTATTTATAGTTTACTAACATATTTATTTATTTTTTTCTTTCACATTTTTCTTCTTTATATTTGTCATGCCCTCCTCAACTAATTCAACCACTTTTCAACATAAAAGTTAATGTTCAACACTGCAAACTATCATATCTCCAATTCAACTATCTTATTAAATTAAATTCATTTGACACAATTATAATTTAATTACTTATTATCTATCACAAAATTTAAATATATAACATGTAATACATTGGTAAATACACATATTAACATAATTCTCTAATATAATCTATTTAATGGTTTTTTAATTAATAATATTATATTTTATAATAATGATAATTTTGAATTTTATTTTTTTCGCCTGGAATGAATTTTGTAGCGGTTCAGAAACCACTAGAAAAATTTAAAAAAAAAGGAATTTTTTCGCAAAATTTAAATTTGGTCCACCTGGTGCCAAATTTCTAACAGTTAATAACAGTTAGAAAGGTTTGACGACAATTTGAAAATTTTGTTTTCCAACAAAATAAAATTTCGAGCACAACTTTCTAGCGGTTCTGTGAAAATTTGTTAGCGATTCAATGATCACTAGAAAATTCGTCACATTTATGTTTTTTCTAGTGATTCATGGAACCGTTAGAAATTTTCTGGCTTTTTGATCATACTGTGTAGCGGTTCCTTTAACCGTTAGAAAACTGTTTCTAACACTTGATTTTCTAGCGATTTTTCTAACAGCTACAAATGTTGTTTGTAGTGGTTAAAACTGCTAGAAAAGTCGAAATTAACCGCTAGAAAATACACATTTTTTTATAGTATATGTTTAACATTTTACTCCCTCATTTACACGGAACAAACAAATTACAATTTGCACCAGTCATATTATTCTTTTTAACAAACTGTATTATTTAATACACACACATGCACATACATACATATATATGTGCGTGTGTGTGTGTGATTAATTAATTAAATGTATTAACTTGGATTGGATGTAAAAGCACTGTGCTGCTGCACCGCAAGTAAAGGTTGTGGTAGCGTGTCAGTATAGATTAAGGGTTTAAATAAACTGTGCGCTGTAATAAAAACAATATTTATAAATCTGCCAGTTGCAATTTAGTACTGTTTCATTGAATTCTTATAATAAAAAAAATTATTTTCTCCATCCCTCTTTACCTTTTTTTACAGAATAAAAAGATACTTGCATCAAAGAGAAAGCAAAACCTATATACTAGTATGTGAAAATTATTCTTTTCCTAGTTTTATTCTCTATTTCGTATCCTCCATTTCATAAAAAAATGTTTATGAAAAATAAATAATAACCTATAGTTTAAAATTTGAAATATTTTATGTATCTAAACATAAAATAAACTCTTATATATATATATATAAACAAGAAAATACTCTTCTCATTCTATTTACTACTTTATTATATCCTATTTATTTTTTTAAACCAACTTTTACATCTTATTTTTAAGTCCATATTATTAAATTTTTTATATAAATGTACTCCCCCAATCCATAATACCGCTATGTTTTTATTTATAAGTTAGTTATAGCAAAAAAGTTTATTCCTAAATATAAGTCACTTGAAGGATGATTAATGATCCTTTTTTTAATTTTAGTCTTGTTGACTTAATAAATGAACACAGAAAAATAAAGTAAGTAAGTGAGAGGAAATATAAAACATATTTTAATACCTTTTCATGTGAAAATATTATTAATTTAATACATTTTTTGATTTGTGGGTTTGAGATGGATGAAAATAAAATAGTATTAGAAGTCTTTTAGAAAAAAAAATTTGGTTCAAAATATAAGAGGTTGACAAGGTAATCAATAATGAGTTTTCACTTTTATTATAGGGAAAAGAGTTTTAAATGCAAAAACAAAAAAGAGAAGAGAATTTTCTGATCACATTCTTTTATAAAGTAAAATAGGTAACTTATATCATCTCAAAACATAATTAATGACCCGAATAACATTTCCTGGTTTGAGAGGAAGCTTAACTAATGTGTTATTTATAGGACAGATAAATAATATATGTTTTGATCTCATTTATAATGGTAGAAATTTTTTTTTCATATAAATGAATAATTTTATCTTTTATTTATTATTATTTTGATTTTGTTTTTATGTGATATAATATATATTAAATAGGAATAAAGTTGAAAGTTGTTGAATTCTAATATTGAATTAATAAAGTTTAAATATTTTTTAGTAAAATATATTAGAAATAACTTGTAAATAATATCAAAGTAGTAGAGTTAAGGAAGTATAATCATTAAATAAGATTAGATGAGAAAAAAAATGGTGGAGCTTATTAAACTGGAAGGGTAATAAAAAATTTGCAGAAGCATGTTATCAGATCACATTTTGTGGAACGAGGAAAGACGCTGCGCCATAGTTGTCGGTGGACGATTTTACGGGGGCTATTAATGCCCAGTCTCCATCATCCACGTGTCCCCCGCATTGACCGTTCCACCTTCCTCAACCGTACCACACGGTTCCTCCTCCTTCGCCCACCCCTCGTGTCTCACGCTCACGATTCCAATCCCATCCGAAGATTCTTCCCCATTTTTTCTTATCATTATTTTCAATGTTTTCAAGTTAAACAAAAATTACAAGTTGATATCAATGACGGGTAACATTAACAGTCACTTAGCGTAGAATTTAACAAAAAAGACTCACTTCTCCCATGATGTGATGAATTAAAATTAAAATTAAAATTTTCACTTTACTGATCTCTAATAAGAGGTATACATACGCCGGAAAAAAAAGACAAAATTTAACATTTAATTATTAATTACTATTTATTTGATAATTTTAAATTTTTAAAAATATTATTTTTCAAACTAAATTATGCATTTATTGTTATCCTTTTAATCTCGCATTTCCCTGAAAATATATTTATTTGTATTTATATACTCATGCAAAATGAACAAAAAAACAACACTCATTATTCTATTAGGCATGTCCAATTTGACCACACATGAAGTTAATGTCCCCAAAATATTTAATACTACCTCCATCCTAATAATAAGTAAAACTGATAATATGCGTTGAGATTAGCCCGTCATAAGGTGGCGGGTTAAGTTAAAAGAAATAGAGATTATTTTGATACGGTTCTTTTCAACATGCACCTATCAACCTATAGCGTGCCAACCCGCGGGCTAACCTGCCAGCTAATTTTTTATTTTTAAAATTTTTAAAATAATTTTTATTTTTATTTTAATAAAAACTTTTTATCATTTTCATTTAATTTGGACATAACTTTGTATTTTGTCAGAGACTTTAATTATAAATTTGATTTCTTATTTTTTTTATTGTTTTACCATTTTTTTGGGTGATATATTGTTTTACCATTTTATACTAATAAAATAACTATTAACAGTGAATTATATGTTTATATTTCAACTTTGAGACTAATTTAATTACATAATTATATAAAAATATAAAAATAAGAAGAATTTGATCTATAAAAATTTATAATTTAATTTAAAAAATTTTAAATATATGTGTAAAAAAATTTTGAAAAAAGTATGGAGGTTGACGGGTCCAACCCACCTTGCCAAGGGAAACTCGTTAAGAGATAGTCCTTTTAGGACCGGCTCGTATGGTCTTAAACCCATGGCGGATTGGTTACCACCTCTAATTATAAAACCCTGTTTATAATCTATAAATAAGGTCTTATAATTAGAACAGAAATTACTAGCTATTAAATGGAGTAAACATGCATTGTCTCCAAAGGTTTCAATTTCAATTTTAATTTTGTTTTATGTATTCATATTATATAGTAGAAGCCACATATAAAAAAATTTCAGATTCCATCTGTACTGTTACCCAAGTCAAAGTTGACGTTTTACTCAAGTTTCAGCTTAATTACAACCTGACATCCACATGCTGTCCACTTTTTTTTTCCTCTTTTTTTTTGGCATCACATGCACATGTGTGATGCGCTCACCATTTTTCTTCTTTCACTGGCTCATGATTGATGAATAGGATAAGACTTTTTACAACCACCCGCACCCAGTCATCTCCGCTACAGAGGCCCACATTAAAATCATCTTTTTACTTTCCAGCGCGCGATAATCCGATTCCAATTCGATGCTTGTATCGTGGTTTATAGCTTTACCCCCTTTCTCTGCATTGGCTTAAAGTAATTAAAAATAAAAATAAAATAAAATAAAAATAAAATACTACTTTTGCTCGTTTGATTTTTTTATTTTAATTCTAAATATAAGATCCTAATTTACTTTATTTCTTATATATATGTTTTTAAAAAATTCTTGTAGTGGTTGCACATATTAAATAATGAATAAAAATATTTTTAAAAAAACAAGGCTTATTTATTATCAATAAATAATTTAACTAATTTTTTAATCTACTTAAATTAGTTAATCAGTTCTCATGTTAATGATCATAGTATTATTTTAATCATAATTGAATTAATGATCCCAATTTTCAATATATAAATAAATATATGTACGCAAAGTATCCTTTCTGAAAATGTTTCTTTATTCTTTACCGGTCACGCAGGCTGTTCAAGAATCAAGAGATGCTGTGCGAGAACTCGCGTGATCAGCTTCCAACCGCCATCTTTACTCTAATCCCAAATCTTCTTCGATCCTTCTCGAATTTCATATTATTTCTTCGTCGTAATTAAATAGAGTATTTTTTTTTTTTTGACCAAGAAAATAGAGTGTTATTTAAGCCGCACATTGTATATATATGTATATATGAGCAGCTCACTATAATGCTTCACTATAGACTAGAGTGGGTTGATCCGTAATAATCCCCACATCTAAGCCCTTCTCCATTGTTCCTCTACTGAACGCTTTGTCCTTGTGGCTGTCTTTTCCTCTCCTCTTGTCTGTACTACTGAGTGCTTCTTCTAAGAATTTCTTACGGTTTCCCAGTTTCTCTCTCCACCGTGCTCTTCCAAAATGCAACTCCGGCCGGTGAATTATGCCGGGACTCTGCTTGTCGCGGTGTTGCTCTTCGTTTCTGGAATCACTAGTGACGCGCACAACATCACGCGCATTCTGGCCAAGCACCCGGAGTACTCTACTTTTAATCACTACTTGACCATCACGCATCTAGCTCCGGAGATCAACCGCAAGACTACTATCACCGTCTGCGCCGTTGATAATGCCGCCATGAACCAGCTGATTTCTAAACACCTCTCAATTTACACAATTAAGAACATTCTCTCCCTGCATGTCCTTCTCGATTACTTTGGCGCTAAGAAGCTCCACCAGATCACCAACGGCACTGCTTTGGCTGCGACCATGTTCCAAGCCACGGGAACTGCTCCTGGATCCGCTGGATTCGTCAACATTACGGATCTCAGAGGCGGAAAGGTCGGATTCGGAGCTGAGAACAACGGCGGCACTCTCTCTGCGCATTTTGTTAAATCTGTGGAGGAGATTCCGTATAATATCTCCGTAATTCAGATTAGTAGCGTCCTTCCGTCCGATGCCGCGGAAGCGCCTACGCCGGCACCCAGCCAGCAAAATATCACGGCCATTATGTCCAAGCATGGATGTAAAGTTTTTGCCGACACGCTTTTGGCCTCCGATGCTCAAAATACCTATGTGGACAATTTGGACGGCGGATTAACGGTGTTCTGTCCGATGGATGATGTGTTCAAGGCGTTCTTACCGAAGTACAAGAACTTGACGGCGGCGGGAAAGACGGCGTTGCTCTTGTATCACGGCGTTCCGGTCTACCAGTCACTTTCTATGCTGAAGTCCAACAATGGACTCCAGAACACGTTGGCTACCGACGGAGCTAAGAAGTACGACTTCACCGTGCAGAACGATGGCGAACAGGTGACCCTTAAGACCAAGGTTACGACTGCGAAAATCACCGGTACTCTAATCGATGAGCAGCCTCTGGCCATGTACACAATCAACAAGGTTTTGCTGCCCCCAGAGCTGTTCAAGGCGGAGGCTCCCGCTCCATCTCCCGCACCGGCACCCGAGCCTGCTGCGGCCGACGCACCGGCATCACCGAAGAGTAAGAAGAAGAAGGCAGCACCAGCACCGGAGGATTCGGATGCTCCGGCGGATTCGCCAGATGACGCTGCTGATCAGACGGCAGACGACAGTGGCGCCGTCATATTTGACGGCGCAAGGTACATTTCCTTCGTATTGGCTTTGGTTTGCGGGTTTCTACTAGGGTAAGATCTGGAATATATCTGACCCCAAAAAGACCGGCATGTTTGTTTTTAATTTTTCTCCTTTTGTTAGCTTTAGGGTTTTATTTAGGAAATAAATGAAAAAGCCTCCTTTGAAGAAAAATATTTGGCGTCCCTTCTGGAAACCATGTAACCTCCCCCTCTTTTTTTTTTTTTTTTGTGTGTGTGTTTTTCATTTAATTGTTTATAATTTGTAATTTTGGTGGTGAGTGATCGGGAGAAAAAATGCCTACATGGGTGTATTGTAACCTAAACTTTTTTTTTTTAGTTGTAATTTATTGGGTGCCATTGGTAATGTGGTTTTATATTTGGGCATTTCATTCCCTTTTTTAAATAACCATGGTGTTTACATTTAAATACATAAAATTGAATTTTATTTTGTCTCAAAAAATTAAAATTAGACTCGTCTCTCTGTAAACCTTAATATTTTCTCATGGGCATCCTAAAATTTTTAAAGTGTCAACTCATGATACAGTCAGTGTCAATTAGTGTTGGCTTTTATTATTAGACTCCCAAGGCCATTCAAAAAATCACTGCCCAGTGAGCATGCACCTGCCTTATGGTTTGCTGAAGTTATAAAATTGGAAATCCTAAAGCAAAACCAATGCGCATGTACATACGGAGGACATGTTTTACTCTGCCCACCAAAAACAGAAAGCTCTCCAGCGGACTTTCTTGCAAAATTTGCTCATAATAATGTTAACTTTTTTTTTTTTTTAATCTTTAATCAGTCCCCACCTCATGGTTAACAGGTGGAAGGTGATCAAGGAATCTAGGATTTTGTTTTTAGGTTAAGGTGCATTTAACACCACCTGAAGTATTTTTTAGATACGTTTATGATCTTGAAATATATTTTTTTTGCCTTAGTAATGGATACAGCCAAAAATATTTTTGTGTGCTGTACGCGTCTGGAAAAATATTTTGAAGTATTGGACATACAAAAAATAATTTCACAGTACTGGATGCATTTAAAAAAATATTTTAAGATGCTTGATGTATTATAAAATATTTTAAGATGTTGGATACATTAAAAAAAATATTTTAAAATGTTAGATGCGTCTTAACCCTACGTTAGGCTTTCGTTGTGCTGTTTTTAAAGTAATAGCACCCAGTCTTCATTTAAAAGCCAAAAATAAAAAATAAAAACAGTAAAAGGAGGGGCATATTTTTCTGCACACATGGATTACATGCTATGCATAGACCAGCGAGGGAGTCTTGGTGCCGTAAATCATTTGTTCCGCATTTTCAAGCTGCCTTATACGTACTTATGTTTTTTTTTTTTTTTGCCTCAAGCCTTATACATAATTATTCAGTAAAACAATATTTTCAGTTTTTAATATAAGAATTATTTAATATAAGAGTTAATTGATTAATTTTGGTAGATTAAAAAAATTAGTTAAGTCAGTTATTTATAATAAATATGTGTTGTCTTTTCTAAAATGTACTTGCTAATAATATGTATTAGTTAGAACTAATATTTGATAAAATATTTTTAATACGTACAACACAAGAATTTTTGTGAAAAAAATGATAAATATAAGAAAGAAAATAGATTAAAATTTTATATTTAGTACTAAATTAAAAATTAAACTAATTCTTTAAGAATAGAAAGTAGTGATATCCTATCATATTCGTTCCAATTTAAAGAATCCTGCAAGAGTGCCGTGTAAGGACTGTAGTAATTGCTCGGGCTCAAACCCACCCAAACATTACTTGTAGGCCAAGCATCCACGAGTGCCATAGGAAATCGACGAACCTTTTCACCTTCGAAAAATTCAAATACCTACAACAAAAGGAGTGTAATGGCCATGGGATTTCATATAATATATGTGTATATATATACTACCTATGGTCTTAATTATAAGATCTTATTCGTAAACTATAAATGAGGTGTTATAATTAGGATCAGAGGTAGTATATATTTATATAATTTGTTTAAATGCCAATAAGTAACAATATCATAAAGGAGGTCCCGGAAGAGAGATGGAAAAATGACACAATAAGGACTCCAATTAACCTTTTACAATTTGAAGACTAATTCTTAAAGGAATAATGTGCTTAAATACCTCAAAAGTACATAAAGAAACGTCTAATATCTGAAAATTTTATTAGACTCTTATATGCTCTGAAAGTTTTAATTATAGCATTTCTCCCTCAACATGGAAAATTTGACTATTAAAGACACCGGTTAAACCGTATAATTTAACGGCAGATAACGACTGGGATATTTTTGCTACGAAAATAAACTTTCATGATATATAAGAGCCAAACAAATCTTTCAGGTGCTAGGTGCTCATTCGTGGATACTTTCGAGATATTTAAGTATTTTATCCTAATTCTTAAACCTCTTGTTAAGGACTAAAGGATCTAAAATATTAAAGAAGATTACATTATTATCCTGTAATAAAAGACGAATGCGTGACTATAATTACATGTGATGGGATATGCGGGAATTTCTCTAGATGTAATGAAGCAAAAATAAGAATTCCACCCAAAAAAAAAAAAAAAGAAAAGCAAAAAGATAAAAACAAGAGACTCTGAATCAGGAATAAATAACACAGACGGAATGCCAGTTTTTTTTTTTTCCCCTGCACCGACATCTCATTTCAAGAACTGCTTCAAGCCATTATACAAACAATCAAAACTGCAATACTATTTAACTCGATAGAACAATGGAACATGCAGTGGAGAAGAAAAACCGAAGAAGAGACTCGCTCGAGTTTATATACAAGCACGATTTAGACAAGCAAATGAATAGGGTTTAACCAGGAACTACTAGTGAGAAGCAATGCCGCATTTTAAAACTTGATCATGCCCAAGAATTTCCAGCGAACTCTGATCTTGCTCATTTATCTGTTAGAGTGTTCCCCCACACAAGTAATTGTGCTGACTTCACAACATGAACAAGTGAAGATGACGACTTTGAACCGCGAGGGATGAAATTATCGTGTTCCTTCACAAATCTTCCATTAATCGCCTTTGAGCTCTAACAAATCAATCCATCTGGTACATGTTATGTACAGCACGGGAATCTTGGGGCTCCCACACAGACCACCTGAATTTGTCAACAAAAGTTTATAATGCTGGTGGTCAAATGTACACCAAAACAGCATCTTCTGACAAGGTTAGTCAAATTAATAGTAATAGCATCTTATAGAACCAACCAAGTTAGATGAGAGAAGATGTTAGAAATTAATAAAATTTCTGACTTGTGACACCAGTGCTGATATGTAAGATATCTAACAAATTGACTTGAAAATTCCTACTCAGACTCTGGAGCAAATTATATCTGGTGCTAAGAGAGAAATTTACCCGAGTAATTCTTGAAGTGGCACCTTCACCCATCCATACTCCGACCAACACAATCAAGCAAGAAATACCAAGGCCCTTTCAATTATTTAAAACAGGAGGAGGTAGCTTCCAGTAATTCCATGAATTAAAATCCTCCTGCATCCGATGTGAAAAACACAGCATGATATAGATCTGAACATGACACGAATTTGATTTAAGAAAATTATCAGTGTCCTACACACTGGACAATGCCATGAAAGATACACTCGAGTTGTCTCTCAAAACCGTTGTAGTCAACCTTGAATTTGGATTGTGAGGGAAAAAATGAGGAACCGATCACCTTATTTATGCCATCCTTTTTCCTTGTTTTGGGTTCTTTCAAATCTTTTCTTTTTTAGTTTTTGGAGAAAGGAATGGAAAGTTATTCGCTAAACCTGCTCAGATGTGTTTGTAGGAGGGAACATCCCATTCACGAGAGCATGAAGCGAAGTATAAGATTTCGTGTCATGTTGGCGGTTCACAACAATCTCTCCCTGCAAACTCATGCATACAGGAAAGTTGTTTGACGTATAATTATATTTCATATACTTCATAATTTTTTCTAGATTACTTTAAAGGACTTGATTTACCTTTGGATTAATAATGAAGATTTTCCCTCTTGGAATTCCAACTTTGAGGTAGCTGATCTCATCAGTATCTCTATTTCCAAAGCCAGCATAAAATGGGTTGCAATCAGGAGGAAAGAGTGCCTTGATATCCTGGAAACATCAAAAGGCAACCATATGACTACCCTTGCAGTTCAGTGATGCACCATCACTTTGATCTAGATTGTAGACACGCCTAAATAGAGCATACTTTTTCCCCTTTGTTGGGAATAGAACGGACGTATTTGCTGTCCAAGTCATAAAATTACTACAAAGAGTAAACATTTTGAAGAATTCTTTTCTGGCTAGCCCTGAGGAACAGACTGGTTATTGGAAGATTGAGATGTCATAGAGGCATAAGTTAAAGCTCAGAATGCCCATTCGGATGCAACCAGCAAGAAGACGTCATTCATGCCCATTCGGAGAACTGGAAAACACCTGGTGCCTCCAATCATTGAGACAATTTTTCTCGATAAACTTTCGTAACCGGTTCATTCGGAGCTGAGAGGAAAAGACAGGTACTAGAAGAGTGGGAAAAGTTTTGTGGAAGCAAATGTATGCATATGGTTGTTGGATCATGTGGCAGATGAAGTGCAGTAAAGTATTTGGAGACAAGGATAACTCTGGAGGTAATATGGAGATGCATTCGTGGAAAATGTAGATGATCAAGATTGTACGGATACGGGGATATAGCTGGTGACGGACACGGAAGAAAAACTTGGTGGAGGCTACCAGACCGAGGGGAATGGTGCTTGAACGTTGATGAATCCTCTAAAATGGATGATAAAGCATTTTGTTGTGAACTTGTGAGGGGACATAGGCATTTGGGTGAGTGGGTTTTACCATTGTAAGATTGCGGAACTATGGGCTATAAATTTGGGCCTTCAGATCTGTTGGCCCAAAAGGATTAAGAAGATACAAGTCTGTTACGATTCAATTGAAGCTGCCATACACTTACTGGAATAAAAATATTAAAATTATGTCAGTCAAAGTAATTGAGGGGAAACTAACCTCCAAGCATGAAATTTTAAACTCATGAGGGGCCCTTCTGATAACTGGAAATGGAAAAGTAGGAAATCTCAGTTCATATATTTTAGAGAGAGAGGCATGGCAAGGAAGCATTCAAAATGTCTATCCCACCTTTTAGTAATGTGTCTTTGTTTCACTGCATGGCACTAACACCATGTGTGAAACATAAATAATGATTTTTCAAATCTTGTAATTATCCATTTTCAATGCAACGTATTAGTACTTTGTGTTAGAACATTACCCATCACTCAAGAAAAAAAAAAGGCACATTACCCAAAGGTGTAGAAGACACTTCAAATGCAGCCAAGGAGTAGGGATTAGAAACAAAAAAAAACTCCAATGTATGGGGAAGGAAAGCAAAGAAATTGGAAGAGCAAAACAGACAAGATAGAGAACAAATTAAATACCTTCTCGATAAAGAGAGGGAAAAATTCCATCAGGAGAAATAACTACAGGACCATCAGGCAAAACTTTTCCATCCTACTTATACAAATATGAAAAGGAGTGTGAATTTATTTTATACTTCTCTTTGCTAAAATTAAAAGCCAATCGTTGACTTCTAAGCATTACCTGCTTAAGATTAACCAGGAATTGTCTGGTCTGACAGGCCTGAGAAATTGATCGGGCACTGAGAAAAAGTATTTTGTACCCATTTTCCTGCAAATTTTGAAACACAGAGGATAAGACAGATCTGTTATAGGCTATAGGCAAGCTAAGGGTATTGTTTTGATCTTAAAATTCCCCGGAAAATAAGTTAAGAAAGGTTAAACAGCTAAACATGTAGATGAGAGCCTACAGTATTGTGGTATTGACAGAAAGGCCAGCAATAATATGCTAAGAGGCCCCCGTTAAAAAACTTGGCTCATATACAGCATGGTAAGATCAATGTATTAAATATTTAGCCACAATCTTTTGGCCAAAAAAGAAAAAAATATTTAGCCACAATGTATTTTCACACAGTAATTGCAAAAAATCTAAACACATGGGCAAGGTAAACAAACCTTGATAGCTGAGAATAAATGTGTAACACCTGTTTGTGACCAGTCTACTCCCACTAACGGCATGACCTGACCTAGAACGTCTGACCTATTAGTAATAAAACAGGAGAAAGAAAAAAAACTATCGTCAACCTATAAAGCAGTTTAAATTTTGCTCATATGCAGTTATTTGAATTGATATTTGCAACTCTTTTTTTAGAATATTTTGACGAGAACCTAACTGTCATTAATTCCCTCTTCTGGGATTTAACTGTCATTCTCCCTAAATAATCAGAGATTTGTAAGACTGGTTAAGGGCAGATCATTAGCTAGATACCAACCTTCATTTTAGATAACATCAATATTTTAAATAATAGAAAAACAGAAAATACAAGAATATAAAAATAGTTTCTGATTCAATAAGTATATATACTTTGTAATTGTCCCATCCACATCTGAGATCACTATACGACAGTTCCATTTCCATAAAAATATTTGGGCATCAACCTGTTAGAAAGGCATAAAAACATAAAGTAAATGAAATAATTTTGAAGGAAATATGACGATAGATTCATGTACTTAAAGTAAAATCTCAGGAAAAAGCACAAATGCTGACCTGTTCATTCTCCAGCGTATCCATAGAGAAAGTGAAGGTTACAGTGTTCTTCCCTTCCTTTAGATTCAAGGATGCCAGCTGTTCAGCTGTTGGTGTCTTTGCCCTAACATTCTTTTTAAAAATCTTGGGTTTGAGCTCATTTTTGTCTGCATCCTTGTTGATTGAACTCACCGAAGCATTGGTATCTTTGTCATCAGCAGCAGGCACCATTGCCTTTTCAGAACTTGATGTCCTGAAAGGGAAAGGCCAAAGCTTCCAGTTCCCGCTGGGAGACGGTTTGTGTGCTGATGAGACACCTGTATTATTTTCTCAACTTGGTTAACTAGTATCACGTGCCTTTCAGTTTACATATTTGTTGACTTTCAGAAGAAATGATGCCTAAATAGGAGCAGCAGCATCCTATCAAATGTAATGATGGCCAATCTTGCCAACAAGCCTATTATTACTTGCTATTCAGGATCTAGAAAAAGAAATCTAATCAATGTCCAAGTTTTCATCACCAAAAGTAGTATCAGCTCCCATCCCTTCATATGACAAATGGTTACAAACGGATATCTCCGTAAAGCACAGTACAGCAACTACGTACAGCAATTGCTTAAACGGTACTTTAAAAAACCATAAAAGGGGGAAACCACGCCAACTTGATGTGCTTTTATAGAATACAAGCCTAGTTGTTAACCATAATACTGTAAGAGATAAGCTGCTTCCAAGGATTCTATCAAATTCTTAAAAGCTAGTATGTTTGGTTTTATCTAAAGAAACAATTATGAGGTGCACTCTGCAAGGACTACATGTGCATAATATGTGAAAATCTTGATTGCTTCAAGTCTGATAAAAAGCACAAAACATCAAGGCATAAAGCATAAAACATTACCAAGTGGAGGATTTATAGTTGTACTCTTAACATCACCCAGATTATTGTTGTCCTTGACACCTGATTCCTCAGATAATAATTGTTCATCTGGTTTTAGACACTTCACATCATCTTTCCCAAATGATGGCTGCTTCAATATATTGCATGCTGAGTTCATTGAATGAATTGAAGGATGACATACATCATGCTGACCCAGAGCATTACTAAGAGAATGAAAACTATCGGACAAGGATTTTGACTGCTCGCTGTTTTTGTCTCCACCATCCTTATTATTAAGGACGTCAGTAGGACTCGATGTTACTATCGGCTTTTCAGGATCAGCTGTTTGACTCTCTGGAGATAAATGAAAACTGTTAAAAAGTTTATCTTCGTCTACATATTCAAAGGAGTTTCACTCCTCATGTTGATCCTTGAATCTGTACTCACCAAAGTCACCGAAAACAAAATCTTTTTCCTCTGGATTTGGAGATGGTTGTTTGCTTGTTTTTCCAAATACACAATCACGAGAAGACTTTGGATGCGGCAGTGTGCTTGAAGCTTCTTCAACCTTCACAACTTTCTTTTCTAAAGCTTGGTTACGCAGGGTGCTGCCAGAATTTGATTCATCCTTCTCGGCTGAACAAAGTCCAATATCCAGATTGATCGTTTGAGTTTTTAGCAGTTCTGTTTGGTCTTCAACATCTACCACAATAGACTTGCTAATACTAGGATGAGTACAACTTGCTTGCTGAGAAGTCTGAGAAACCATCGTTACAGGCACCATGACATCAGCATTTTTGGTGACTTCCTCATTTTTTGTAACCTAAAGAACTTATGTCAGCGTCAACTGAGAGAAAAACTGTGCCTTATTTAATGATTTTAGTATATATGTTAACAGTTATTTTCACTGATGGTTAAAAATAATTTCCTTATAATATTCTTTCCTAGTCTAACGTTAATTATTGCTTATGAGTTCACCTCAGGTAGTACAGTTTTCGCTTGTAAAATCTCTGCATGATTATGTGCTTCACCTATTTTGTAATCAAGGTACAACACCTCATGAATTTGCTCAGTCGTACAATGCATGCATCCGTTTGAACTCTCTGACATTCCACTGTAAACTAGTGGCTGAACTCCATCCTCTTCCCCAGGGCATTATTCTTGGGATCTCTTCCCCAGAAATTCCATATCCCGGCATTATTCTTGTACCAGAAACATCTTCTCCACTCAACGGCTTGTTTTCAATGCTGTCATCAAGTTGGGGACCTGCGACGTCCAAATCAATGACGGTCCTAACAGTTATAACTTCCTTCATTTTTCTGTTTTGTTCACTATCCTCTGCAATATCACCACTCATTGGTAGTTCAGTTATCGCTTCAGTTTTCTGCTTTGAAAAGCTAACTTCAACCGTGGTGCCGGAAGATGATGAGCATATACCGTTATCCTCATCAAATCCCCCGGGAACTTCAAGATCAGGGTTGGAACAGAGGCCGTCTCGTGCATTAAGGGAACAAACTTCATCATATAAGCTGCGTTCGTTTGAAGAATTGTTCATGTTATCACGCTGAGATTTTCTCTTTTGAAATTGTACACGATCTTTTCGAGGTGGTTTATGACCAGCAAGATTGGTAGACCACTTTACCTCCAACAGGTTGGCTGCAATCTCAGCACACTCCAATGAACGTGCAGCGATTATATCAGCATTGAGAACCTCCCGCTGAAAATCATTATCGCCAATGACAAGCCCACTTGTCACTGATCCGTCAGAAGTAGTCCTGGCCAGCATGTTTCCTGTTTTCATATCACCCTGATCAATATAATTTGATTTGTCTGATTCGAAACAAAAACTTCTGGACTTCAAATGCCGCTTATCCGGAATATCTGTCTCATCCCCAGAAGATAATGGATAGAACGCAGATTCTCCCTCTTCCGCTTCGACCTCCCTCAGAAAGAAGGCTTGCCCTTTATGATCCATATACATATGGAAATTAGCTTCCTCTCCATTGACATTAATACTGATCATCCTCTCTTCTGTCCTTAAAACGCCATGGGACTTCCCAAATCGGACGTACCAAGGCGACGATTTGAAGCTCCCATCTTGCTGTTCAACTAAAACAATATCTACAGCGCCACCAAGTGGACGAACCGACCCTGACACTGTGGATACACCCCGACTAATGTAGCTGCCTAGCCTCCCCACCACTTGCATTCTCATAAATTATTCAAATTATTAATCACAATAATTTCATTCCAATGGGCCTCGCTTACTAGTTACGTACTTGCGTGTTTCCACCCATAAAGACAACTCAAACACATGAGAGCCCGATCGATCAGAATAAGCAGAAAATTCTTCTTGTCTTTATCTGAAAAAGAAAACAAGCACGTACAATTAATAGTTCTAAATTCCATTAATAAGACCAAATCGGGATTAACATCAACTGATTCTCACAAGGACATCGATGGAGAAATGTACAGTTACTGAGATTGTGGAAAAGAAAAACATTATGAATTTAAAAAAAAAAAAAAGATATGAAAATCAACAATCTGAAAGGCTCGTTCTTCGACTAGGAGGGAAAACCTTGTAACATGATCAGGCAGCGGTGAAGGGGAAAAATGGAACCAGCATAGAGGTGGCGAAATGGAAGAAAAATTGGATTCAACGATCCGAACGCTGGGAACCAACATTGATTCACCCGTCATTCAAGGGTAACGGGTCTGTATCAGAAGTTGGAAGTAATGTGTAAAACGAAAATTAGGTTCATCTTCATCGGTCCGTAAAATAAATTTCAGTGATCATCCAAGCAATTAATCCAAGTTTCGAAGCGGGGGTAAGAGGGCATGTAGATCGATGACAAACGCAGGTCTCAAGTCCAAGCAATTAAAGGCTCGCATTTGGATTCGCATTCGCAATTACATGCTTCATTGCTTTGGTCTCTCTCTCTCTCTCTCCCCATCTCTCTTTCCAAGGTTTCAAAAGCCATTCAAACTCCCAAGCAAGGTCAGCGTCGTTAATGAATATGTTATAAATCATAAAATATTGATCCGCATAAAATAAAAAAAATTACTTATCCACTCTTTAATATAACTTAATTATTGTGAGTTAATTTTAATTCTAAATAAGATTTATTTCTCATATTCATCAATTTTTTTTAAATTATCTCTATAGATACTCCATCAATCATAACCAAGTAGAAGAGGGAGAGGGGATATTAAGAAAGATGATCGTAGTGTTTTAGAAAAAACGTGTTACATTTCTTATAATTAACTACATTACCTAACTTTCTTAATCTAATCAAATTAATTAAATGGGTCTTATATTAATAATAAGAAAAGTATTATGTAATCTTACATATGTAATTTAATGAATCTCCGAAAAGTGTTACAATAAGAAACATATAATAACAAGTTTTGATGTACTTCTTTGTTTTTATTTATAAGATACTTCTAACATATTTTAGACAAAAAAAAATCTTAAAATGCATTAATTTTCAGTTAAAATATAATAACTTTTCAACTTTATCCTTATTTAATATATACACTTTTCAAAAAAAAAAACTATCTACACTATAATAAATGAACGATAAAATAGTATAGTCATACTAAAAATTTAACGAAATGACTTATAAATAGAAAAAAAAACCTTTTTTCTCGGCTTTATAAGTAGAATTAAAGGAGTAAGAAATAACAAAAGATATATAATGGTTTTTCCCACTTTATTTTTATTTTTAAGAACTTTTTTATTTTTATATTTTTTTCATCCTTAATATGATTGGTGATCCTTATTCTTTTTTTTTTGTTGATACAATTGGCGATCCTTATTCTGAAACATGCACAAAATTTAAAACTTTAAAGGTCCAAAACTACTGTTGCTCTTGGAATTCTGAAATATTATCAGGTAGTAGACGTGGATATTTCACTCAACAAGAATTCGGATCTCGAACCGTTCTGCTGTGAATATCTGTATGACCAAGTACACAAGCGCATGCCCCGAGCCCAAAGAGAACAAGAGAGAAACATAAATGAGCCCATTAGACATTTTCTTCGCGTGTATTAGCTGTTATGCCCAATTTGATCTTCTACAAATCTAGAAGTGATGAGCTGCACGAACGGGTGAGAATCCAATGGCGCCAGTATGAAAATGCAGATCAAGACTGCACAAGAAACCTCTTTCACTATTACCATTTGGCTTCATTCTAGTAAGTCAAAATCAACACTATTGATTGATCTCCAGCAACACTTTCTGGGGTGTCAAACTTTGCAATACTATTGTAGCTGTTTTAACACATTGATTGGAACCACTCTGAGCGAGAATCAAAGGATAATGCATGCCTTCAACCTTGTATGGTGCAAAGTTGGGGACGTGATACCAGTGCCGGTTAACTTTTATGTGAACCATATTCCTGTCCCAGACTATAAACACAACCACGATGGAAATCCTCAGGCAGTAGACGTAAATACTACGAAATATTCTTTCGTTTTGCCACATATGCATCATTACTTTCCTGAGAACGATATTAACGTACTAGTGCATGCAGCATATGCCATTATATAGCAGCACCTTAGCCTCAGGAAAAATTTTTGATATTGGGTTTTCTGGGGGGTCACAAGTTAGCACGTAATCCTATAGTCCACTTTAAACCAGACTACCAGAGATAATAACATATAAACAAAGGACTTCTAACACACACAGGTGAATATTTGTTTTATAAGATCACAATTGAAATGGTAAACATACTTACGAAGAGAAGCATTTAAATGGTCAATTGAGGCAACAAAACGAATATGGGGACAAGCAGCTGGTCGAGCAGGATATTGTTGGGTTTCAGAGTCTCTTAATCCAGGTCCGTCAATATTGTGAATTACAACACAAACAAAACAATCTTCCTTCTCTATTTCTGCTCCATCCAAAAATGCAAGAAGGTCTTCCATATGGATTGGGAACTGAATGGCTGCTCACTTTTAAAAACCTTCTGTTTAGTTTTCACTTGATCTGATAACACTTCAGCTGAAGCTATCACGACCTATATTCAGAAACATCAACAATTGTCATGCGTCATGAGGAGGAAGAGTTCTAAAAGTGTGATCATATCCTCTTGCAGATAAACATTCACTTTTCTCTTCGCATTCTTTATTCTGGTTCTGTTAAAACGTGTGCCTTCTGAAATGTCAATGCTAAAAAGGTACCTGTTTTAAGTTAATGACTGGAAGATAACCGCTGATGACAATTACAGAATGTTCAGTCAACGCAGTCGAAGCAAAATCTTTGTCTCTTATATTTATCCATGTTTTCTAAAGTAGTTCTTGTAGTAATTATACACATTAAAGATAAAGATTCCAACAAATGGTAGTTTTAACTACTTCCTCCGTTATAAGCAACATTGAAACTCATCATTTAGATCAAAATGTTAGTTAAAATTAGTTAAAGACAATAAATATGTAGAAATTAGAAATTTTTTCTTTGAAATACCCTTATTTATAGGGGAGAGAGAGTATAAGAAAGAGAATAAGAAAATTATTATAATAAAGAGAATTATGGAATAAAGAGAATGTGTGATGGAGAGATGATGGTTTAGGAAATAAGATAATAAATATATTAGGTATTAAAATAAGTAATTAATGAGGGCAAAATAGGAAATTTGCTACAAAAGTTAAAACAACTTGCAAATGTTGTTTATATTTAGGGACAAGAAAGAGATGGTAGTTATTGTTTATAAAATCGGATGGAGGAAGTAATTCACATGATTAGTAAGGTTATTCTAGTAAAGATAATACTTATTTATTACAAATAACTAACTTAACAAACTTTCTTAACCTATTCAAATTAGTTAACTAACTCTTAGATTAAGAATCGTAAGTAGGAAAAGCTGCCGCTTAGCAGCAACAATGGACGTTGACAGAAGACGCCAGCATTAAGAATCCTTGCTTTGGGTAACACAAGGCTTTGTGCCCCTGTTTTAAGATTATTTCAGTTGAGGGTTGCCGCAGCTGTCCATATAGAAATAGGGTTTTCTAGATTGCTATATAATTGCTAGTGAAGTGCTGGCATAGCAGTTGTTTAATTCTGTGGAGTTAATTCAAGGGGTTTCAACAAAATTGCTGGTAAACACAATGTGGTATAACTAGAAAGACAATAGATGCATTAACTTTTGCATCAAATATTGGCAATAGGCGGGCGAACCACCTAAGGGCAAAAACCCATTCAGAGTACATATTTTTATAACTATCAATTAATGGAGCGATCTCCTTCTCATGCTTGGGCTCAATATATACCTGTCATGAACTTGACAATATGATGTTGGTGTTGGAAGAAAATACCAATAAAAATAGCATCCAAAATTATCAAGGAAAACTAAAACTTACCAACATAATATATTATTACCTTTGATCTCTACTATAAAACTTGGTTGATTAATTTGAAGAGATTAAAAAAGCTAAATAAATAACTTAATTATAATAAATATTTTAAAGTAATTTTTTTAACCTTTCTTAGCCTTCTAAAATCAGTCAGCTGAGTTTTATTTTATAGTAAGGAAGGATATAAAGTCACTAGAAATGATTCAGCTTATTTTGGACTTCATGCATCCACGTAAGACTAATTTTTACTAATGGAGGGCAAATCTAGCTAGTATCTTTAGAGTGGAATGTGCACAATAATTCTAAAGAGGCCTTGTGATGTGTTTTTTTGGCTCCTTTTGTAAAGTTTCTTTGATAGATTAATATATATTAGCTCTTATCTTAATTATAAGATCTTGTTCGTAGTTTATAAATAAGATTTTATAATTAAGACAACAAGTAATATATATTAATCTATCAAAGAAACTTTACAAAAGAAACTTTATAAATGAGGGTTTCTAATTAAGAACGAAAATAGTACATACCTTTCCATTAAGAAAGAAAAAAGAAGATTAAAAAGACACCATGTGATGGAAGTGATACGGACACGAAAGGATTCCAGTTTAGTCCATATTGCAGTCGCTTTTTTTTTTTTTTTTTTTGGACCAGCAGTCCATATTGTAGTCGCTACATGCAAAATCCTATCCTAGTGCATATAGAAATAAATAGTGATGCTACCTAAGGTGGCTATGCATTAATTAACTAATGTTAACATTTGGGTGAAATATCACTGTCAAGTCGGTGGCAGTTGGAATTGATATAAATATGGGCTTATGGCAATCTTTGGCCTTATCCTCGTCAGTGCCAAAATTCATATACCTGATCCTTTTTATAAGTTACGTAGATTAATAAGTTAGTATTTTGGTTATATATATTTAAATTCACATGGCAAAATTAATCTAGGTTTATATATCATGTTATTAGCTACTAATCTTAAATAAGTAACATATAACACCTTGATATTATTTCTAAGTAGCATTCAATACTCTAATCTTATTTATAATATATTCAACACCCGGATATAATTTTTGAGGCCCACCCAACACCCCCTAATCTTAAAATTTAATAACTTTTTGACTTTACCTTTATTTAATATTATCATCAATCCTTAATATAAGATTCACTTTGTAATATAATCTGGGCTACAAAATAAGGACAGAAAGTAGTATATCAACGTAGAAATGTATAATATTCTTCTGATATTAAATGTAAGACCTATTTTATAATATAATTTACAGTACAAAATGTGTTTTGTATTTAAAACTGATGGGAGTAATATTTACATTAAGTCGTGCTATTCACAATATATCATTTATCTTGTAGTATTAAATGTTTGAGAGAACACTGTTCTGAACTAAAGTTATGTATGATTTTAAAGACACAAAAATTTTGTGGTTATATTTTTTTATTGTTATTTAAAATGGAAAATATTTATACATTTCTTTCTCTTTCAGGCACTGTATACAGTACAAACGAACACATATATAGTTTATACTTAAAAAGACTCACTATAAAATGTCTTGAAAGGAACTCAATCGTCAAGTGTAGCATGAAACAACTTAGAAGGTGTTTGGGTAAAATCAAAATCATGGTTTCAAAAGTACTTTTACGGTGTACGAGATAAATATGTGGAAGAGTTTGTCTTAATTTACGGAAAAGTACTTCTGAAAAGTGCTTATTAGGCTTTCCAAACACCCCCTTAATCAAGATGAATTGCATTACAAAATATGTCTTATATTAAAAATAGGAAGAGTACATGTATAGTGTGTGTTTATTGACCTCCACAACATATAATTGGTCATAGAGATATGTGATCTAAGTTGAATATAGGTTACTTGTCAGAAATTTTATTAACCTAAATACAAGTTACTTGTAGAATATTAAATTTAATAATCATTTTCAAATTTTACTCTTGTTTAATTGTCATTGAAAAGAGAGAAAGAGGGGAGAAAGGCGAGAATAATTTGTAAATACAGATAGGGAAAAAATTTAAGAATGATAGATTTAGAAAATTTAATTAATTTAATACTTTTCTTAGTATGTGAGAATAAGTTACAAGTAACTTACAATAAGAAATAAGAACCGGAGTGGCAGTAATTATACTGTAGTGATCGGTGGGCGTGGTACTTTGAATCCCGTGCCATCTCGAGCGTGATGGTGCTATAAATAGGATGTTTCAAGAAAGCAACACGTATATTTCTGAAACTTTAAATGCATTCTCCCACGCAATTAATCTCTCTCTCTCTCTCTATATATATATTGTTACTGCCACCTGCTAGCTATATATGGCTGCAGAAGATGGGGTGACTGGCTACAATTACAACAACAGGTTGGTGTGGCGCCATAACTTGAATCTTATTATTAATAACTAAGTGTACGTGTTTACGTGTGAGGATGCATGCTATATAATCCACGCACACACACACATACATATATTGCTATACATGTTATAGGCGTCGCGAGCTGTGGAAGATGTGGAGGCTGAAGGTGGCAGAAGGAGGGAAAGATCCGTACATATTCAGTACAAATAACTTTGTGGGGAGGCAGACATGGGAGTTTCATTCTGAAGATGAGAGCCAGGAAGAGAGAGATGAAGTTGAAGCTGCTCGCCGCAACTTCTTCTCTAATCGTTTCCGTCTCAGAGCTTGTGCTGATCTCCTTTGGCGATTTCAGGCTCTCAGTTTCTCTCACTCATCAATTTTACTTATTGCCCCCATATTAATTGTTATTATTATTAAAGCATTATTAATATTGCTCGATTATCATGTGATGCAGTTTTTGAGAGAGAAGAAGTTCAAACAAAGAATAGGAGGTGTGAAGATAAAGGATGAAGAGGAGATAACATCTGAAAAAGTTCAGAAGACGGTGAAAAGGGCAGCAAATTATTTGTGTGCTTTGCAAGCTAGCGATGGCCATTGGCCTGCCCAAATTGCCGGACCCCTTTTCTATATTCAACCTTTGGTCAGTCTTTTGTCCAATGTTATACATTATTTGGATATCAATGTAAGAGCTACTTAACTAGTAATTTAAGTAGATTAATGAAGTCAAATAAGTTAGTTAATTAACAAATGTGGCATGATTGCCCTAAATTATGCCTGTGTATAACATCATATCATATCATATATTAATTTCTAAGTCAAGTAAATTTATTAGTTTGAAGAAAAATAATAAATACAAAAAAAAATAATGAATTAAAATTTCATATTTAGAACCAAATCCAATGTCCCAACCGGTAGAGCTAGTAATATGGTGGGTTCAACCCGAAAACCCACTGTAAGGTGATGGGTTGGGTTGAAAAAAATAGGGATTATTTTGATACAATCATTTTCAACCCGCACTCGCCAACCCGCAACCCGCCACGGGTTAGCTCGCCAACCCGCTGGTTAGCCAGCCAGCCCATTTTTTATTTTTTTAAAATTTTTTTACAATTTTTTAATTTTAATAAGAAAAAGTTTTATCATCTTTATTAATTTACATATAATTTTGTATTTTGTTAGAGACTTTGGTTCTAAATTTGATTTCTCATTTTCTTTATTGTTTTACTATTTTTATATTAATAAAGTAATTATTAACAATGAATTATATGTTTATATTTCAACTTTTGAGATTATTTTAATTATATAATTATATGCAAATATAAAAATAAGAAGAATTTGGTTTATAAAAATTTAAAATTTAATTTAAACAATTTTAAATATATATGTAAAAAAAATTAAAAAAAAAAGATGGAGGTTGGCGGGCTAACCCTCCAACCCGCCAACTCCCCCGAAGGGGGCAGGTTGGCAAAATGTGAGCCCGCCAAGAGGCGGTCCTTGTAGGACCGGCCCATATGGTCTTGAGCCCACAGTGTGTTGGCCCATAACTAGCAGGCCAACCCGTTTTACCACCTCTACCAACAAGCTCTTGTAAGGAAGGACTAGAGAGAGTATTTCTTTCATATATACACATTATAAACAATAGGCATTTAAAGATGAAAGTGATGAATGGTGCAGGTATTTGTTATGTACATTACAGGGCATCTTGATACTGTGTTTCTTGAAGAGTACAGGAAGGAGATCCTACGTTTCTTATACAATCACCAGGTGAAGTTTCAAAACTACATCATTTTATTAACACATAACGTTCAAAGTTTGGCCTGAAATAATGTTATACATATACATATATATATATATATATATATGGAATTGCAGAATGAAGATGGAGGGTGGGGGCTACATATAGAGAGCCGTAGTTGCATGTTTAGCACAGCACTAAGCTACATATGCATTCGCATTCTGGGAGGAGGGCCTGATGGAGGAGAAGGCAATGCTTGTGTTAGAGCTCGAAAATGGATTCTTGATCATGGTGGGGTCACCTACATACCCTCTTGGGGAAAGACTTGGCTTTCTGTATGTTTCTTGTATTAATTAAGTATTTTAATTAGTTTCTAGCCGAAACTTATTTAATTAACATTATATAGGAGTTTAATCCTTCTCAATTTTGATATATCAATCATTATCTGCTAATTAATTAACAATATATGTGTTAATTACTCTATATGTAGATACTTGGTGTATATGAATGGAACGGAAGCAACCCAATGCCTCCTGAATTTTGGCTCTTGCCCTCATTTCTTCCCATGCATCCAGGTAAACCAATTACTTCTTTTAATTAAAAATGGAAATAGGCGGTCTACCAAGGGCTTATAACCTACGGTGAGGCCTATTTAAACAAATAGGCCTGACTTATTTTCACCAAATCTTGGCCTATGAGCCTTGTAGGTTGACTTATTTATAAATATATATACAAACATATATAAATATTTAAAATTACTATTATCTAATTCAAATTATATTATTATTAGAAGTTATTAGTTAATAGTTTATGCATATATGGTTTAGGATGCTGTTGTTGCAAAAATCAGGTTTCAAAAAAAAAAAATTAGGTTGTGCATGCGGAAGTTTTATAATATTTTAAAACCTAATATGTAAGCCTTGTCATCTAGGCTCAGAAGATTAAGAAAATTAGTTAAATATAAAAACTTTTTTTTATAGCATTCCAAAATTACCTTTTGATTGATATGGTTCATTTGTGAGGGGAAAGAGGTGATGGAAAAGCCATTATTTAAGAGTGAAAGAAACAAGAGTGTTTTCTAAAAACGAGTCATAAATGTTTTAATTAAATGTTGTAAAGGTCTTGTATTGAAAATCAATAAGTAAAGCCTTATAAATACGATTAGATAGGAAGTACTAATATCAAACCATATACTACCTCCGGTCCTAAATATAAAAGCTAATTGACTAATTTGAGTAGATTAAGAAAATAAGTTAAGTCAATTATTTGTAATAAATAGGTACTGTATTTCTTAAAATATCCTTGCTAATCAAGTGTGTTGGTTAGAACTACTATTATTAGAAAGACTACCTTGAAAAAATAGATAAATATGAGAGACAAAATGAATTGGGATCTTATATTTAGGACCAAAATAAAAGCCAAACAAGGTCTTATATTTAAGTACCGAAGGTAGTGTGTGTGTGTATATAGAACTATAAATCTGATCTCGGTGTCGTATTTGAGTTACACTCCAGTGATTTTTTTTAAATATTCTACCTCAAAAAATGAATGCAGCAAAAATGTGGTACTTTTGCCGATCAGTCTACATGCCCATGTCTTACTTATATGGAAAAAGGTTTGTGGCTCCAATCACTCCACTTGTTCTTATGCTGAGACAAGAACTTCATGTTCAACCTTACGACCAAATTAATTGGAACAAAGCTCGCCACCTTTGTGCCAAGGTTACCTATTGTCTTCTCCAATATTGCCTAATTAGTTTGATTTTCATTGTTATTTACTAATAAATATATCTTGTTTTTTTCATGTCAAGTACAGGAGGATCTTCACTGTCCCCATCCCTTGATCCAAGATCTCATGTGGGATACATTATATATACTAACTGAACCACTTCTAATGCGTTGGCCTTTCAACAAGTGGATTAGAGAAAAAGCCCTTCAAGTAACAATGAAACATGTACACTATGAAGATGAGAATACTCGATATATAGCTTCTGCATGTGTGGGGAAGGTTCCATTTCTATATTTAATAAATAAACCATCAAATGAGTCGAGATGAATTAATTTATGAGTAGAATTCTAATTTTTTAGGGAATACTTTTCTCTATGCTCTTGTCACAGTCATTAAGTATGATTGCTTGTTGGGTTGAAGATCCAAATGGAGATGCCTTCAAGAAGCATCTTGCCAGGGTTCCTGATTATTTATGGGTTTCAGAAGATGGAATGACTATGCAGGTTTTAACATTTATATATATATATATATATATATATAGCATTCAAAGTTAATTTCACATATAATTATTAAAGATTTGTTTTTTTTATTGAGTATAACGACATTTGATTTCTTTAAGTAAAACATCAAAATAAGAGTTGGAGGTTTGATATTTTCATGTAGAGTTTTGGAAGCCAAACATGGGATGCTGGTTTTGCCATTCAAGCTTTGCTTGCCACTAATCTGATTGAGGATATTGCTCCAACACTAGCAAGAGGACATTATTTCATTAAGGAATCTCAAGTTTGTTTCATTCTAAGAATCCTATTAATTGTTGATTCACTAGTCATCTAGCTAGAGAGAGATGAAATCTATGTGCATACACTAGTGAACCATACTTTTTCTTTTAATGACAAATAACAATCTGATTAGGTTAAAGACAACCCTTCTAGTGATTTCAAGAGCATGTATCGTCACATTTCTAAAGGAGCATGGGCCTTCTCTGATAGAGACCAAGGAGTGCAGGTTTCAGATTGCACAGCAGAAGGTTTGAAGGTGAGTTCTGCTGGTTATATGCCTCATCCTTATTAATGTTCAACTTCAATGTTCTAGCTAGAAGTTGTTACCATATGATTATGTGTTACTGTTTTTACTAGTGCTGTCTTCTTCTATCAAAGCTACCATCAGAGACTGTGGGTAAACATGTAGAACCTGAGAGATTATACGATTCTGTCAATATCATATTATCACTTCAAGTGAGTGAACTTTTTGAATTTGAATCAATATAATTAATGGCTATTCAGTAATTTCAAAATAACTTGATTGTGATTTGTTTTTAGAGTAAAAGAGGCGGTTTAGCAGCTTGGGAACCAATCAAAGCACGCGAGTGGTTAGAAGTAAGTCTTATATACCAAATGATGACCCAATATATCCACACTTTGAATTTAGTCAATAATGCATATTATAATAAATCTTCTCGTTTGGATACGATCGATCAGGTTTTAAACCCCATAGAATTTCTGGAAGACATAGTAGTTGAACATGAAGCTGTTGAATGCACAGGGTCAGCAGTACAGGCTTTAGTTTTGTTTAAAGAGATGTATTCAACGCATAGAAAGAAAGAGATTGAGGATTTTATTACAAATGCTGTAAGATACATTAAAGAGATGCAAACAAAAGATGGTTCATGGTATGGAAATTGGGGAATCTGCTTCATCTATGGAACTATGTTTGCACTTGCTGGACTTTCTGCAGCTGGCAAAACCTATGACAAGTCTAAAACCATTCGTAGGGCTGTGAATTTTCTTTGTACAGTGCAAAATAAGGATGGTGGGTGGGGAGAGAGCTATCTTTCATGTGCTGAAAAGGTTCAATTTTATCACTTATTTGAATTCATTCAATATACCATTTTGTTATTTTATATATGTTTGATTATTTATTTTCTCTAACTCAAATGGTTTGTGATTAATAATATGTTGCAGAAATTTGTTCCACTTGAAGGAAACCGATCACATGTTGTACAAACAGCTTGGGCTATGATGGCTCTAATTCATGCTGGCCAAGTAAGTAAAACACACTTAGCTGCCTTTCATCTTAAAGAGACTCCCTCAAGTGTACAAATAATCAAATTAGGTGGATTACAAAGTTGATTAAATACAATAAATATGTAAAATATATTTTATTTTGAAAAATATTTTTATTTATGGAGAGGAAGTGGGTGAGAGAGAGAGAGAGAATGAGTTAGAAAAAGAGGATAAGTGATATAAAACTTAATTAATGAAGGAAAAAATGAAAAATGTTTATTATCCTTTAAGTGTATCTAATAAATAGAACTGAAGGAAGCCATTAAGTTAAAATCATATCTTAGTATGGAAGATATGTTCTAATCAAACTTAATGTCTAAGTTATTTATTTTTGTTGGATAGGCAGAGAGAGACCTGACTCCTCTTCATGGTGGAGCAAAATTTCTCATCAATTCTCAATTAGAAGACGGGGATTGGCCACAACAAGTGAGTTTTCCCACTTTTTATTAACGATAAGTCATAAAATTTAAGAATATTAATTGTTATATTAATTAATTAATTAATTAGTGGTTGTGGACTTTTGTTTAGGAATTGACGGGAGCATCCTTAAAACATTGCATGTTGCACTATCCAATGCATAGAAATGTATTTCCGATGTGGGCTCTTTCGGAATATCACAAGCGACTTCCATCATTATCTTCAACTGTTTATTAAAGTTGCTGCTGCTTCATATTGCAACGCAAATTCGTGCTGCCTTGAATGTGCGTAAATGCTTTTATATAAAGCCATATTGTAGTCAATGAGTATATGTCAATATAGAAATGCATAATAATGTTTATATTAAGTCGTGATATATTTACAACATATCATTTATCTTATAATATTAAATATTTGAGAGAACACTATTGTGAAATAAATTTATGAATGGTTTTAAAGACTGAAAATTATGTGGACATATGTATTTTTTATTATTCAAGATAGAAAACAATCTATAATTTTTTTTGACCTTGAGAAAATAATTTACTATCTCCGGTCTTAATTATAAGATCTTGTTTATAGACTACAAATAAAGTCTTATAATTAGAATAGAAGGTAGTATAATCAAGCTGATAAATATATCGAAACCATATATATCACCATTAGAGGAGACGATGGACTATAAATCACAGGAGAGATTTAATGATGATGATGATGAAGACGAGCCCGACAACCAAGTTTTCTAATAGGATTAAAAGATAGATTTAATAGGAGTAAAGTGAAAAAACTTATTAATATTTAAATAGAGTTAATAAGTTTTAAAATTTTACTTGATTTCAGTAAAAAAATGTTAAAAATGGCTTGGAAATAAAACTACAGAGAATATTGTAATAAGATTGTATTATAAAAAGATGTTAAAAAGCCAGGATAATAATAATTTATTTCATCCTTATTATAAGAAGTAACTCCGCCTATGTTGTATAGCCGGTCCCAAGCCCGGATAAAGGAGGAGGGTTGTGTTAGGCCCTCGACAGCCAACGTAAAAACCCGTCGAATCTCATGAACATGGATCAACGAAGTAATTATGTTAATGCTAGGTCGTTGCCCAGATGTGACGCGCTGTATGGCTCGAGTACAGTGAGAAATGAGCTAGAGCCGCTGCATCGTCGCCCGGATGTAGTGTTAAATGAGCAAGGGCTACCGCACTCTCTTGGACGGAGGCGACTAAAGAAGTTAGTTCATGAGACTGAGATTAGATTTGGCACTTGGAATATTGGGACGTTAAATGAGAAATCTATCGAAGTAGCAGGAGTTATGAGGGACAGAAGGATTAATATCTTATGCCTCCAAGAAACCAAATGGACTGGAGAAGCTGCCAAGGAACTTGGAGAGTATAAACTTTGGTACACAGGAAAGGTGAGCACAAGGAATGGGGTTGGTATCATCGCTGATGGGACATGGAAAAAAAAACGTGGTAGAGGTTAAAAGGTTTGAGGACAGAATAATATCGTTAAGAGTAATTGTTGGAAAGGATACTATCAATATCATTAGTGCCTATGCACCTCAGGTTGGGGCAGAGACACACCTTAAAGATAAGTTTTGGGAAGATATGGAGGGCTTGGTTCAAAGCATACCACTCGAAGAAAAAAATTTTATCGGTGGGGACCTTAATGGACATGTTGGTAAAGAAGCAGGACAATTCAGTAGGGCCCATGGTGGTTTTGGTTTTGGGGAGCTTAATAGTGGAGGACAATCTATTCTCGATTTTTCTCTTGCATACGATCTTAAGATTGTCAACACTTGTTTTAAGAAGTGAGAGGAGCATTTAATCACGTACAAAAGTGGTGTCTCAAAATCACAGATTGATTTCTTTTTGGTTAAGAATCCGGACAGAAGATTGTGTACTAATTGCAAAGTGATTCCAGGAGACGGGGTGAGTATCCAACATAGAGTACTTATCCTTGATGTATGTTTTAAGAGTACCAGGCAAAAGTACCATCAAGTGGCAAAACCCAGGATTAAGTGGTGGCAGTTAAAAGGAGAGAAGCAGGAGTTATTCAAAAGGACTCTTTTGAAGGAAGGGAATTGCGAGTTGCAGGGAAATGCAAACATGATGTGGGAAGAGATAGCTTCAAGGGTTCGTTTGGTAGCTAAAGCAATTTTGGGAGAATCCAAAGGTCCTGGTCAAAGAGATAAGGAGACTTGGTGGTGGAATAAGAGTGTGCAAGAGAAAGTTAAACAGAAAAAAGATTGTTTTAAGGCCATACACTTGTGCAATAGTGTAGAGAACCAGGAAAAGTATGAGTTGGCTAAAAAAGAGACAAAGAGAGCAGTGAGCGAAGCACGTACTAAAGCTTATGAAGGGTTTTATCAGGAGTTAGGAACAAAGACGGGAGAAAGAAATATTTACAAGATCACGAAGCAAAGGGAGAGGAAAAAGAGAGATCTGGACCAAGTAAAGTGTATAAAGGATGAAGATGGTAAAGTGTTAGTTACTGATGGTGATATTAAGGACAGATGGGAGGCTTACTTTTACAAGTTGTTTAATGAGGGAAGCAATTATGCGACTCAGGACTTGCAGGACTTGCTTATTAACAAAGATGATCGGAATTTGGCTTTCTACCGCAGGATACGTATCGGAGAGGTTAAGGCGGCTCTCAAGAAAATGGACAATGGAAAAGCCGTTGGGCCTGATGGTATCCCTATTGAAGTTTGGAAATGTTTGGGCGATGAGGGGGAGGCGTGGCTAACCAAGCTTTTTAATGAAATTCTACGCTCTAAAAATATGCCGGATGAGTGGAGGAAAAGCATTTTAGTTCCTATTTACAAGAATAAAGGAGACATTCAAAACTGTGTAAGCTACAGGGGGATAAAACTTATGAGTCATACAATGAAGTTGTGGGAAAAAGTGATGGAATATAGATTGAGGTTGGAGACTTCTATTTCGGAAAACCAATTTGGATTTATGCCAAGGAGATCCACATCGGAAGCAATCTATTTACTAAGGGGGTTAATGGAGAGATATAGAAGTAAAAGAAGAGATTTACATATGGTTTTTATTGACCTGGAAAAGGCTTATGATCGTGTGCCAAGAGAAGTATTGTGGAAGGCTTTGGAAAAGAAAGGTGTACGGGTTGCGTATATCAAAGTCATACAAGATATGTATAAGGCGGTAACTACTAGTGTAAGGACGCCTGGGGGGGAGACAAAGGACTTCCCTATTAAGATTGGCCTACGTCAGGGATCCTCTTTGAGTCCGTACTTGTTCAACATTGTTCTGGATGTTCTAACTAAACCTGTTCAAGAAAGAATCCCTAAGTCCATGCTTTTCGCGGATGATATAGTTCTTATGGCGGAATCAAAAGAAGAAATTAACACTAGTTTGGAGTTATGGAGAAGGACTTTGGAGTCGAAAGGTTTCCGTTTGAGTAGGAACAAAACAGAATATATGCATTGTGATTTTGGAGGGAGGCAAGGTAATAGGGATTTGGAGGTGAGGATGGGAGAGCAAATTATTCCTCAAGTATCAAAGTTTAAATACCTAGGATCCATTATACAGGAGGATGGGGAAATTGATGGAGACATTTCTCATAGAATACAAGCTGGCTGGTTAAAGTGGAGGAAAGCTACTGGAGTTATTTGCGATAAGAAGGTACCTGAGAAACTTAAAGGAAAATTTTATCGGACTGCTATAAGACCAGCTATGATGTATGGTAGTGAATGTTGGGCATTAAAGGGAAAACAAGAGCACAAAGTCGAAGTAGCAGAAATGAGGATGTTGAGATGGATGTGTGGTCATACAAGAAAAGATAGGATTCGAAATGAAAAGATCAGGACAAGAGTCGGTGTGGCACCTATCCAAGAGAAAATGGTTGAAAATCGCTTAAGATGGTTTGGACATGTGCAGAGAAGGCCTTTGGAGGCCCCGGTGAGGAGGGTGGATCAAACAAGATGGAGTCCCATAAAAAGAGGCAGGGGAAGACCGAGAAGAACGCTGAATGAGGTCATTGAACGAGACCTCCTAATCAACAACATATCTAAGGATTGGGTTGTTGACAGAGCACGATGGCGTCGTGTGATTCATGTAGCCGACCCCACCTAGTGGGATAAGGCTTGTTGTTTGTTGTTATTATAAGAAGTGACTGACTAACTCACACGTTCCAATAACACTATTTAAAAGTATTAACTTTGTCATAAAATTTAAGTAATTTTTAATATTATCCTTATTAATTATATTAAATTTCAACACCATATATTAATCTTTATTCTTTCACTACTCTCATTAAATATGAGCATATATAAAAAAAATTTCATACTTACTGAAACTATTGAAGGGTCTTATAAAGGGATTAAAAATTTTGTCTGGCTCCTATAATAACGATAAAAGGGTGTAGCAAAAATAGGTATCACAAATAATATATTGGCGCGAGCGCACATATATATGAATATGTCAACATTTTTTTTCCTTTTTTTTTGCCTCTCAATACTTTCATTTGAAATCTATATAAATGATCTGTGTGTCTGAATAGATGCAACATCCAAGTTTGAGAATTAAATAAGGTTAGGAGTAGGGCAAATATAGCTGTCTTTGGGGTGGTGGTAGTTGGGGATCTGCACAATTTTAAAGAGGCCATGTGATATGAGTAGATGATATGTATCATGTATGGAGGAGGAATCTCTCCATTTTCCTTTTCTGCTCTTTCTTTTATTATGACTGCATCAAAAACTTGACATATTTAATACTCTCTCACGTTTTTTTTTATAAGATCTGAAAATTTAAATTGGTTTCGTTCTTTTTATGATATCCTACTTAAAAATATCTAAGCATTAAATACGTTTTTATAAAATTAAAACACTAATAAAAATTATTTGAGTGTAATAAATTTTTTGTTATTTAAAATGAAAAGATTATTATTTATCAGGATATAAATGCGTAGAAGCCACCACTCATATTCTTATTATAAGTTACTTATAACACATTCTTATGCATTAAGGACTGTATTAAATTGATAAAATTTTTCAAATTCATTTTTATTAAAGATCTCTCTCTATATTTACAAATCATTCTCTTCACATATTTCTTTTCTTTCTCCCTTTTTAATGAGAATTAAATAAGGATAAATTAAAAGATGATGATTAAATACTTACAATTTGAGACAAAAAGATTTCCTCCGCAAGTGATTCATAATAAGCAAAGGAGTATGGGTATGTACACAACCATCATTTTCATTCATTTACTCCAACATAAACAGAGGATGCTATTTTTTTAAAGACAAAACACAGGATGCTATACATTTGAACTTTTGCACACTTTTTGAAAATTTACATTTTTATATCACCATAGATTATTTATTTATAGTTCAACTCTCTTTTATATCATAAAGCTATTTACAAAAAGTAACGATAGATATTGATGGTAAAAAATTCAAATAATGTATATTAAACATCTTACTTTTTAAAAATAAATTTTCCTCTCAGCATTTTCATTTCGGATCTATCATTGCATATATAATACTTGATAAATAGATAATCCAATATTTTTAATAAGATATATTATTTGATTAACAAAACGTAACTTTCCCTCTTTATAAAGCATTTTGAGCAGTTCCTCTCCATTCCCTCAAACTTTTTTGACATTTAATGCGAAGATGCAATATTGGATGCCAATATATTGAATTATTGATAAGCTCTTAACTTACATGATTTTAATAATTGTACTGTAGTAGAAATGAATGGAGTCTAATTTATAAATCACGTTCGATATATTTTACATAAAGTAAGAAAAATGTAATCTTAAACTTAGTTACCTCTAACTTAAAATTTAACAACTTTTTGTCATTATCTCTATTTAATATACATTATATCCTATGAGAAAAAAGCTAACACAATACTTAGCAAATGGTAAAATTATATTATCACCAGAAAAAAAGGATAAAATTATATGTCTATATAACAAATTTAATGATGTAACTTATAAATAAAATTGAAAAATTCCTTCTATATTTGTCCTATAAATAGGAACAAATGAGTATTTTAGACTAAGCCGTTCTTTTAGAAAAGATTTATATTGTGGACCAGATTGAGTACTCTTCTAGTCTTATCTATAGGGCAAAGAGAAAAAAGGCTTTTTTTGGTCCTATTTATAGAGTTTTGAGAGAAGTTTTTTATATGGACCTTTATTTATTATTGTGTTAACTTTGTTTATATAAGGTATAATGGATATTAAATGGGAATAAAGTTGAAAAATCGTTGAATTTGAAATAGGAGTTAATGAAGTTTAAGATTTTTGTTAATCTGTGTGAAATATATTAGAAGTGACTTAAAAATAAGATCAGACAAATATACGGGGTACCTAACTTAGCTACACATTAATGCTAAGAGTTAGAAGAAATATTATGGGAGAATTACAATTAGGTCCCCAAAAAAAAATTTTAAAATAAGGCACTGTTTGGATGCACTTGCAAACCATGGTTTGGAAGCCCAAACCATGGTTTGCACAAAATGCTATCCAAACACCCCCCTCAAAAACCAAAACCATGGTTTTGGAAAAAGCAAAAATTTTTTGCTTTTGGAGAAAAAAGGGAGAGTGTGAGAGCCTATAGGATATGTATCTTGTTATTTTTTTTATAAACATATTTAATCTTATATTTTATAAATATATATACATATTAATTATTTATTAATTATATTATCTTATGTATTATTAATTATGTTAATAAAAAATATATTATTAGCAATTTATTCCTCTAAATTAAAATATATCATAAAATCTATTTTTTCTGTAATTATTATATTAACTTATTTCTTTTTTTTTAGTAATTTGTATATATAAAAAGTGCTTTTGATAACAACTATCCAAACACTCTCACTTCTCAAAATCACTTTTTCATAAAATCTATTCTTTCCAGAATCTATTCTTCAGAATCATTTTTCCAAATCACGGTTTGGTTTCATTCAAACACACCCTTAATTTGATGGTAAGGTTCAAGATGAAGTTCTTTTCTCAATTCAAGAATAAGTGATGTGATTGGACCCACAAACCTTTTTCCATATAAGTATGATATTGGCATGCCGATTGTTTGGATAAAGAACCACAATTTATCTACATTGATTCATTGAGAGATACAAGAAAATAAACAAATGTTCAGAGAGAGAGAGAGGAGCTCAAATAATGTGCCGTATATAGAGACTAGATAAGGTAGAGCCAAAAGCATATAGAGTACATACTACCATATGGTTTAATTTAATTTAATTAAAAAGATAATTTAGAGGTCCCTATGGTTTTATCTGATTTTCGATCAAGTCCTTGTAATTTGTTTTCTTTTCAACATATTATCCTTATTGTTTCATCTATTTTTCAATCAATTAAGTTCCTATAGTTTTCACATGACTGGTAAAAAATATAATGATTTGGTTAAAAAAACAATTGAAACTATAAGAACCTGACAAAAGCCTTATTATAATAATTAATTAAAACTATAAGGATTTGATAAAAAAATAGAGATCTTATTAAAAATCAAATGAAACTATAGGAACATCCGAACATGTAGATTAATTTTCCCACAATCTTAATCAAGTGACTTACCATGAACATAAGAAGGCGACAACCAAAACTCATGTGGTATTGGGTTGGTTCCAGACCATTCATATACACCAATAATCTACACATAGTAACAAAATCGAGTTGGGTTCAATTCCAATACTAATTGCAAATGCAGAAGCTAATTAAGCACTGCTTTCAGTCCTTAATATAAGAGCTAGTTGATTAATTTGAGTAGATTAAGAAAATTAGTTAAGTTAGTTATTCGTAATAAATATATGTTATCTTTTTAAAATATCTTTACTAATCAAATATATTGGTTAGAACTACCATTATTACAAAGACTATCTTAAAAAAAATAGACAAATATAAGAGACAAAATGGATGGGGTTTTATATTTAGAACCAAAATAAAAATTAAATGGCTCTTGCATTAAAATTCGGAGGTAGTAATTAATAAGTCAACCAGAAAGGAAAAAGGAAACATACACAGAGCCAAATCTTTCCCCAGGACGGTATGCAAGTGACACCACCACGATCAAGAATCCATTTGCGAGCTCTGACACAAGCATTGTCTTCTCCTCCATGAGGCCCTTCCCCCAAAATACGAATACATACGTAGCGTAGTGCTGTACAGAACATGCAGCTATGGCTTTCTATTTGTAGTCCCCACCCTCTATCCTCGTTCGTCATCAATCAAATCCCATCCATATATGACATTATTACTTCATTACTTCATATTTTGACAATGCAATTACAAGTAAATATGAAGGAGATAGAGATCGATCTCTGATTCCTCACCTGATGAATGTATAAAAAACGCAGGATCTCTTTCTTATACTCTCTAGGAAAGACAGTATCAAGCTGCCTTGCAATATACATAACAAATACCTACAAAATTGTTCACCATATATCGATTTTGTATGGTTTTTGTGAAATTTGTATTTGAATGATAAAGAATTGAAATAGTAGAATTTTGTCTTTGTTTTACCAAAGGTTGAATATAGAAAAGGGGTCCGGCAGTTTGAGCAGGCCAATGGCCATCACTAGATTGCAATGCACACAAATAATGAGCTGCCCTTTTCACCGTCTTTTTAACTTTGTCAGGTGTTATTTCCTCTTCATCCTTTACCCTCACACCTGCTATTCTTTGTTTGAAATTCTTCTCTCTCAAAAACTGCATCCCATAATATAATCAAGCAATATTAATAATGCTTTAATAACAATAATAAATTATTTGGAGGCAGTAATAAGTAAAATTGCTGAATGAGAGAAATTGAGAACCTGAAATCGCCAGAGGAGATCAGCACAGGCTCTGAGACGGAAGCGATTAGAGAAGAAGTTGCGACAAGCAGCTTCAACTTCATCTCTCTCTTCCTGGCTTCCATCTTCAGAATGAAACTCCCATGTCTGCCTCCCCACAAAGTTACATGTACTGAATATGTAAGGGTCATTCCCTCCTTCTGCTATCTTCAGCCTCCACATCTTCCACAGGTCGCACGCCTATAACAGTAGATTGCAATATATATATAGTGATATGGATGATATATATATATATATATATATATAGCATGCATCCACACATGTAAACACGTGCCCTTAGTTATTTATAATGAGATTCAAGTTATAGCGCCACACCAATCTGTTTTTGTAGTAATGTGATTATTTGTAATTTGTATCTTATAAAAATGATTAAAACGTACTTCCAGTCTTTTTATAAGTTACAATTTTTCGAATCGCTAGGGTCTAATCATTTTTATAAGTTATACTTTGAAACTGTTCAAACATTTGATATATTTTTAAATTTTTACACACAGTTGTGTCTTTTTCATATGGTTTCTTCAATGATTTTTTTTATCTGCGTTTTCTCTCATTCTCTTTCTCATTCACTCACCCTCTCTTTAAATATATATTATTTAGAAAAATAAATATATTTTTAACATATTTATTATCTTTAATTAATCTAACTGATTTTTCAATTCACGAGGAAAAAAAATAAAACTGGACCGAGAATATAAATTCTGGCACCTACAGGCATAAGAGCGAAGGTTTTAGTGGTTGATAGTCGAAACAGCAAGGCGGCATGGTGCAACTGCAATTATTATTTCAGTTACAACTGCTACCCAGATGATAATAAATACTCTTCTGGTCCTTAATATAATACCTATTTAACTAATCTGATTAAATTAAAAAAGTTAAGTAAGTTAGTTAATTATAAGAAATATGACATGTTTTTTCTAAAATACCATAACCGTCCTCTTTAATACCCATTCTCTCTCTTCTATTTGATTATGGTTAAGGAAGTATCCATAGAGGTAGTTTAAAGAACATTGATAAATATGAGAAATAGATCTTATATCTAGGACCAAAACCAACTCAATAATTAAGTCCTATATTAAGGACCGGAGGAGTATTATTTACGAGAATTACAATAAAGTCTCAAAAAAGAAAAATGATGATTAAAAAAACCCTAATAACAACTTTTGAGACCTTCAACAAGTGGGTTAGAGAAAAGGGCCTTCAATTAACAATGAAGTATATACGCTACGAAAATGAGATTACTCGATATATTACCTCTTCATGTGTGGAGAAGGTATCATTTCGATCGATATTCAATAAATTCAATAGACATTCAAATGAATTGAAATTAATAAATTGATATATATATATATATATATATAGGTAGGAATAATATAATTCTAACATCTATGAAATGCCCCTTCTACACTTGCTACAGGCTTTTTGTATGGCTGCTTGTTGGGCCGAAGATCCAAAAGGAGATGCCTTCAAAAAGCATATTGCTAGGGTCCCTGTTTTTTATGGGTTTCGGAAGTTGGAATGACCATGCAGGTGAAATTAAGAAATAAATAATGACAATTAATTAGGATGCCCTAATCTCTCTGAATTAATGCAAGTTTTCTTTGTTTTGACATGTATACACACATTTGCATAGACAATTCGACCTAATTAAGGTTTTTTTCCTTGATCTTGACGTTCATACAGAGTCTTGGTAGCCAGACATGGGACGCTAGTTTTGCCATCCAAGCTTTGATTTCTACTAATCTAATTGAGGAAATTGCTCCCACGCTTGCAAGAGGACTTTATTTTATGAAGCAATCTCAGGTTCGCTTCATTTTAACAAAGAAGCCTATCCATCATTGGCTCAATAATCCTCTAGAGACGGGGGGATTTATAAATGCACGTGTTTGTGCATGGAAATCCATTTGCATGCATATACTGATGACGAACTATATAATTGAGGAAGTTGCAAGAACTTAATCATAAAATTCAGGTCAAACTATAAAGACTTACGAATTAATTTTCTCTTTTTTTTTTATCACAAATAACAATCTGATCTGTTCAGGTTCAAGACAATCCTTCTGGTGACTTTAAGAGCATGTATCGTCACATTTCTAAAGGGACATGGACCTTCTCAGTCGCAGACCAAGCATTGCAGGTTTCTGATTCAGCAGAAGGTTTGAAGGTGATTAACTATAATTAATTACTTAACATCAGAATTTTCAACCTCACATCATTTGGTGTCGATTACTATTATTGTTTGCTTCAGTGTTGCCTTCTATTATCAAAGTTACCACCAGAGATTGTAGGCGAAAAGATAGAACCTGAAAGATTATATGACGCTGTCAATCTAATATTGTCACTTCAAGTGTGTACTTTTGAACTCGAATTAATTAATTATGGAAGGCAGTTCAATTTGCTGGTGTTGAAATAAGAATCTAAAGACATTTTGAATATATCTGATTTATTCTCAGAATAAAAATAATGGTGGTGTGGCAGCTTGGGAACCAATCAAGGGACAAAAGTGGTTAGAAGTGAGAACAGTAACTTCTGCTCACATTTTAAGTGAACTAGTTAGGTAATCTGAATCATTGTCTTGGCCCTTAGCTTCAATAATATTGAATTTTTGCTTGTTAGGCGATGAACACAGTAGAGTTTTTTGAGGACAGTATGGTTGAGCATGAAACTGTGGAATGTACTGGATCAGCAGTTCAGGCTCTAGTTTTGTTTGGAAAGTTTTATCCGACACAAAGAAGAAAAGAGATTGAGAATTTCATTGAGAATGGTGTGAGATTCATTGAAGATACACAAACAGAAGATGGTTCGTGGTGGGGATTCTGGGGAATTTGCTTTACTTATGGAACAATGTTTGCACTTGCTGGTCTTGCTGCTGCTGGTAAGACCCATCAAAACTCTAATACTGTTCGCAAAGCTGTGAATTTTCTTTGTACGATGCAAAATGAAGATGGTGGCTGGGGAGAGAGCTATCTTTCATGCGCTAAAAAGGTTTAATTATATTGCATCATCACCTTCAATTCTAGAGGAATAAAAGGGAAAATTAGTGAAAAGTCTGTGTTTCAAAATTTTATTGGTCAGAAGGACGTGAATTCAAGTACTGTTACTTTGTATGCATAAAATCTTGCAAAGTAATGGTATTTTTTGTGTGTAAAAAAGCATATCAGGTTCGTCTGACCAATAAAATTTTCAAAGTCTAACTTTTCACTGAGTTTTCTTGAAAAACAATATAATGTGGTCGTTAATTAGTTTGATTTTTTTGTTTAACTTAAATGCTCTTTTATATGTTTGATGTTTCAGGAATATATTCCACTTGAAGGAAACCGATCACATGTAGTACAAACAGCGTGGGCTATGATGGGCTTGATTCATTCTGGACAAGTAAGCTAAGCCAAGCAAAACAAAAACAAAAACAAAAACAAAAACAAAAACACTTTGATTTTCAATAAGATAATGCTTGTATATTTGAAAGGGAAGATTATTGATTATATAGCCTTATCGAAAGGCTAACAAAAATTTACTGAAAAGCATATATATGTGAAATTTGAAATTTAAACTGATATATTTCATTTCATTGAATAGATGAAGAGACCAACCAACACCCACTACAAAAAAACACTGATTTACCGATGGAATTACCCACGGAATTACCGAAGGAAGCCAAAATTACTGACAGAATTACCGATGGATTTGCGACAGACAAGAATTACTGACGGAATGCATTCCGTCAGAAATTTTTCGTCATTAAATCAATTTGCGACGGAATCTCAAATTCCGTCAGTAATTTCCAATGGAATTTCCATCAGAAAATACCGACAGAATTTCTCCGTCACAAAATTTGTGACGGAATTAGCCACGAAATTTCGAACGGAATATTCCGTGGCTGATCAGCCACAGTGGCTAATCAGCCACGAATTTGCCCATAGAATATTCTGTGGTTAATTCCGTGGCAAAATTGCTTCCAGTCAATTTTTTTTAATTTTATACTATTTTAATTTGATCAATTGTTTTTTAAGAGGGCATGAAAGATAATTGAATTTGTCAAAAAATCAAACATGCTATTAAAGATATATATAGTCTTTCCCACATCCAAATGCTTTAAATGTCAAGTGTCAAGTGTGAAATAAAAGCTAGAAATAATAATAACAACTGTCAACTATCATTTCCTAAATTTATATTGCTGTTAGAGGGCTTAGATAGTCTAATTCCCATTCCTTCCAATGCATACATGATTTTGTTATAATTTTCTCTCATCTCTTGATGCTCCTGTTTAATTTGCTGATTCTCCTATGCAAGCTCCGTTATCCTCGTGCGCAATTTAGTTTCAATATTGGCATTCATACTTGTGCTGTTAATGGAAGGAGAAGACCTCTGGATAAAAATATCATCATCAGCCTCAGACCCAAATCCATAGATGCGGTCCTTCTTGTTCTTGCCACCTATAACATCTAACCATATGTTAAATTCTTCCTGATTAGATTGTACGCTTGAAGAGCCTCTTTCATAACTTAGTTCTGCCTTTCTTCTCATGAACTCATCCTATAAAACAAAAGGACAATAGGAGTATATGATAAGTGCATGTTATGGAAGGCAAGATTCTTCTCAACTTAATCCCAACAACAACCAGATCAAGTCAAGTCCAAAAATAAAATTGCACTAAGGATAAGAAAAGATACCATAATTCATTAATTTCCAGCATATGATGACATATTCACCAATTCTATCCAAAAAAAAAAAAACAGGGTATAGGAAGTTCCTATAAGTAATTGGGTGTGAGGGCCAAATGAATGGACAGTGGGAAGAGAACATGGAAGTTTTGAAACAAAGGAAAGATATTGTACCTTCATTAAATGATTTTTTAGATAACTGAAAATAAAAAATCCTAAAGACTATATTTAAAATCCAGAAGAACTATTTAATAGTATTGGAAAAAGAACACCGTATCAAACTTCAAGACTCTCTTCACTCAAAGCTTGGGTTTTCTCAAGCTTAGAACTTATTCTTTAAGGCTATATCCACCAAACATTTGATATAAAGATGGAATATGCATTTATATATATAAAAAATACATTGCGTGAGTTTGATACACTGCTAACGACGTTATTGGACATTAATATATAGTTAATATATAGGTACCACTTTTGCATTTCCTCTTTTTCTATGCAACCACTCCCCCAATATCGGTGCCTTTGCAACACAATATCCAAGAGTCAATACACAAAGCAAAACAATTCTTTTTTTTTTTACCTGGTTAAAGAAGTCAAGTTTTGGCAATATACTTATTAGAGAGGTTTAGGTATAGAACTATAAATATAAACCTATATGGTCTATCTCGCATGGTAGAATATTGCCTAATGATCAGTAGTGGATCGGGGAATATATATTCCAATTGAGATCGATGTGTTCAACTTATACTAGGGATAATATTTTTTCAAAAAAAATTTTAAGAGATGACCTACTCAGTGACTTATATACATAGAATCATAAATACTTTTCTCAAGAAAAAACAACTCGTCAAAGAGGTGCAGGGATATATATAATAAATTACCTCACATTCCATGAAAAATATATGCCTATATTCAACTTTTATTAATATATGAAACCGTAATAAATAGAAAATTGGCCTGTAGTGTCACAGTCCAAAACAAGGGGACTTTTAAAAGGCAAGTAATACTATATGGATTTTATAAATGGATCTGATATGAAAGAAACTACTTTTTGGTTTTATGTGAAAAAATGATCCAATAATATGTCAAATATTAGAAACATATACTCACATGAGCTAATTCCGCTCGCTGGTCTGTAAATTTTCCAGTTTTGTCATTTAAATGTGTCCTCTTGAACAATTCAAACATAGAAGGGTCTCTTTCTAACTCCAAAGCCTGCAATTATTTACCAAGATGTATTATATATGCATTAAACAAATAACAATTTAATTTGAAGATAAATTCTTACCAGTCTCCTCTTATGCTCAGTATTAGGAATACTTCTACCTTTGTGTTGAGTGCCTCCTGTAGTTGAGGCTCGATTAGCCTTGACAATCTCACACTTAGCCTTGTAATCTTCTGATGCCCATATTCTCTCTAGCTCGGTCATCACTTGACGTGGAATCCTCTTAGCCCTAACTTGTTTTTTATACAAGTCTTGCCTAACAGTGGGCATTGTATTTCTTAAAATTTTTGCACACTTTGCATTCCAAATTTTCTTAATAGCATGATCATATTGTGGCAACCATTTATATTTTTGCTGCATAAATGAGAAACAAAAGAAAAATATAAATTAAACATGTTGAGAGGAAAAATTTGAAGACATAAAACAAATACAAGTACAGATAAGATTTACTGCCTATTCATCAAACCACATTTTCTTATATTCAAGTGGTGTCGCTTTCCAGCTGGAACATGGATGGTCAAATTTCTCTTGAATAACAGGAAGAATATTTCGTACAGTAGCAACAGCAGGATTAAACCTAATAACAATTTTATACAAAATATCATTATAAATGTTGTTAGAATGGCATTAATATAATAAATGAAGATGTGAAATAATATAAACTTAATGGTGACTTACGTTTTCTTCTTAAGATATATCCATGTTCGACCATCTGAAGAATCATAACTTGATGGTGAAAAAGTAGGAGGGGTCGGAGGAGTGGGGTGATACAAATTTTCAGTCCTAGGAGATGGGATCTGAGGAGATGATGCTCAAGATGATAATGAAGGTCTATTATATGACTGAGTCATAACTGGAGATAATCTGTGGGATGACAAGGTTCTGCTGCATTCTTCATTTATAGCTGGAGATCTAGTAGATGCTTCACCTATAGGTAGAGAAGATGTTTGAACAGGGAATTTGTTGAGTTGGTCAGATAATTGTGGAGAAGATAAAGAGCTCAAGTGTGCTCTATCACACTTTGAACCACGACCTGCCATCTACATATTCAAGCACTTTGAGTTAATAGTAAATAATCATCACAAAATAAATCTCAATAAAAAGTAAATCAATTAGAAGTCAATGCAATCAAAAAGGTGTATGCTGAAACAACGGTAACAACAAGGATGGATTTGTTGGCCAAAAAAGAAAAACAACAACAAGGATGGATTTCAATGTGAGAAGATAAGGAAGCGTGGATGAGTGATGAAGATGTCAAAAAACCTATAATTACTCTCTACTCATTCTCTCTTGTCTCCACTCCTCCTGCTTCACACTCAAGCTGCTACTGCACGACACTAGCTTCTCTTTTTATTTTCATTGCATAATAATGGGGATGCAAAAATACTAGTAATGAGTCGTATAAATCTGTGATTTTAGCTAACTGCAGACTAATACAGCCAAAATAATTTGTGTGTATGTGTGTGTATCTTTTAGAGTCAATTTAAAACAATAGGAATTAACTTAAAATTATTAGGAAATCATTTGTGTGAGAACGCATTTAAGGGGAAAAGTTGAAATAATGTTCAACTCGAAGACACGCTGTTAGTGGGAAGAAAGATGCTCTAAGATAAGAAGAATATTACTCATTCAGCAGCAAAATAGAATGTTCAACTCAAAGATGCTCTGACTTTAATCCTACAAAGTCATGGGGGTGGGGCATAGAATCAGATTGGCATTAAGATAACGGAAAGCCTTCTCAAGACTAAGCAACACTCAACACGACATATGTGACAAGAAGAGAATTACTGGTCTAAAACTGCACACCACAACATTCAGCAAACAGAGCCAATGTATTCAGCAAAATAGGATAAAAAATCGTATAACTTACATTCAACAAAAGGTTGTGACAAGAAGAGAATAGCTGGTCTTGAAGCAAGAAAAGATCTCGTAGCTACTGTAGAGAAAACCCCTACAACCAGCAAGAAAACTTGTCCTCAACTCTCGTCCACCCAGTATAGCAAAAGAAAATAAGATTTCAAATTAGTAGAGATATGAAATTATTACAGATTGAATGAAGAAGCAAGATTAGGGGACCAAAAATCATATACATAACTTACCGAAGACCGAAGCACGAATAGCGACCCGAGCTTAAAAAGCATTCCCCTGGAGCCTAAACCCCGTGACTTTGTACCTCAATCCTAGCCGCATTCAATCTATGCCTCAAACTCTCTTAACTGGCCCAGGGGTTAATTAATCTCCACATCAAGGAGAAGAGCAGAGATCTTTGTTGAAGACAGCATGGCAATGATGAAGTACTAGAGAAAGAAGTTGAGCTCGATGGTGATAATGAGGGATGCCGTCGCCGTCGAAGCTTGATGGAGGAAGAAGTCACGGCTTTTGGTGTGGATGAAGGGAATGTGAATGTTGGCCAACGACGATGATGAACAATCTGGATGACTAATGGCGTGTTGGTGGCTAGGATTCCACAGGAAGAAGCCGCCCTTACCTTCACCCTTAGCAGTCGCGTTGAAGAAGAAGAAGTGATTATGGTAGGCTAGCAAGCAGCCGAGCTCATTCAGAAGTCAAAACACTACACTTTTGATTTTCACTCATTTTCTTTTTTCTTTTTAAACTTTTTCCAGCTTTTTAAATTCCACCAAAAAATTAGCTGCGTATCATCTTTCAGGTAGACATAGGGTGAAATCCAAATAATATGAAAATCAAATTGATTAATGATACTCATAAAATTTTTTATGGTTTTGTTTTTTTTTTCTCCCTAATAATTTTTCAGATTTTTTTTAATCTGGATATGTCACTTAAAATAAATAATAATAAAAATAGAAGTTATTAAAATTAAGAGAATGGAAAATTCAAATATAAAAATAAATCTGAATACTATTGTATATATAAGCATTTAATATTTTAAGAAACTGAAATTAATAACAATTTAAGAAAAATATTTATAAACTTTTCAATTGTATTTATTAAAATAAATTAAAAGATGTTTTTTACATTTAAATATATTTATAAAAAAATATACATAGAAATAATTTATTAAAAAAATAAAGAAAGAAGAAAGTCCAATTAAAAGCCCCACGAAGGCAAAAATAAAAGTTAACTATTGCTAGCATTATTCATCTACACGAATAATTTCGTTTAATTGTTTGTTTAGTTATATTAAATATCTTTTATTAATAATAAATAATTTTTATTTGATTTGAATAATTTTTTTGTCAATATTGATGACAACAAACTATAAAGAATTGTAGTATAAATTAAAAAGATTATAAAAAATATATTAAATGGAGGTATGATAAGAGGAAATGTAGGGATTTAATTAGGGATAATTTAGTATTTTTAAAATTTATATTTTGATATTTGGTCCCTGTAAACAATCATAATTATTAAGATCCTTCCCCATGAATATTATTTTTTTAGATCCTTCTTTCTAATTTTTTTTTATAAATTACAAGGTAAAATATGGTTTTATCAGTGTTACAAAAGAAGGGTTAATCGTTGGAAGAAAGAGAGGAAAATAGTTAACATTTTTTGCAAAAATTAAGTCTCAAATTAAATGGGTTAATGGAGGGAAGGTGAAAATCTTTTGAGGGAGAATAAATTTAGCCTTCTAATAAATGAATTATGGTTTCTTCAAACAAAAAATTGACAAAATTACATTTTATAAATTCTAAGTTTAAATTTAAGTCTTACTATTTTTCTCATACAAGAACAATAATATTATATTTAGAATAATATTATAATATTTCGCTAAGCCAACTTGATATTAATGTTGATATATTTTTTTGGTATAATTTGATTAATATTATTTTGTATTAAAAATGTGCTTTGGCTATTAGATATGGTGGACTAACTTTTAAAAAAAAAAAGCAAGAAAAAAAGAATAAGCTATTTTCATATTTACTATTTTTATTTACATAACATACATTCTAATTTTTATTTATTACTAATTCGTTAAATATATGTTTTTTATGTTATAGTAGAACCTTCTAATTGTATTATTTGTAAACAGTTGTTAATATTAATTTTCTAAATTATGATCTATCAAATACCAGTTTAATTATTTTTTGGTATCCTTTGAAATGATTTGATATTTTTTAGTTTAAAAATGTCCATCTATTTTTAAAAATAGATAATATATTTATATATAATATAATATTGACAATATCTAATTACATGAAGTTGTGGAGTAAAAAAGAAGAATAATGTTGTCATGAATAAATTACAAAAGATGATGCTTAGGATTCATACATCTCTCACATTTTAACAAGAATTGTTATAAATCACTATCATGTACAATCAAATCATCAAGCATTTTGTTTGATTAACAAGACTTATAATTTTTTAATCAAAATTGTTGAGTCTAAATTCTCAAAATATATGTTAAATATTTGGTAGGAGAATTTTGTTTTTCTTTACAATTTTATGAAACTAAATACTAATAAGTTAGCAATATTGTTATACATGATTCCATGTAAATATTTGCTTTGCACCTATTATATTCTTCATATGATATTATCTCAAGATTAGTAAATTAAAATTCAATTTTGTCTCTAACATTTATTCTTCTATATTATGATCAATAATATTTAGTTAATTTGAAATAGTCACAATCAACCAATAACTCAAAAAGTAATTTTTACTTTTTCATACTTAAGGCAATCAAATGCACAGATTGAATTATTATGATTCACCCACACTTCTAGGATTTCACTATGTTCCTTTTACAAAATTTGTATTTGTTTTTTTTTCTTACATAATGTAGTCTTTCACCTCACAAAAAATAGAATTACTGCATTTTATTATAAGAATAAAGATATAAAATTTTGGGGAAAAGAAATTCACTTTTCTGACGAAATTAGCCACGGACAACATTCCGTTAGTAATTTCTGTCGAAAATCTGTCCAAACTTTCGTGGATAAATTTGCGATGGATTTTCTGACGGAATTTGCCATGGAATTGCGACGGAAATTACTGAAGGAATTTTTCCGTGGAAAATTCCGTCGGAAAATTATTTTACCGATGGAATTACCCACGGAAAAATTCTGTCGGTAATTTTTGACGGAATTCCGTGGCAAATTCCGTCGGTAATATTTCCGACAGAATTTCCCACAATTTTCTGACAGATTTTTGCGATGGAGTTGATTCCATCAGTAATTCTGTCGGTGATTCAATGTTTTTTTGTAGTGACCTCTTCATTGGGCAGCAAAGTTCCTCATCAATTCTCAGTTAGAAGATGGGGACTGGCCACAATAAGTGAGTTTTTACTTTTTTTTTTTAAAACCCTATTCGGAAATTCTCTTAATGGGCATAATAAATTATTAAAACAAACTCTAATTTTTATTTTTTTATTAATGTTATATATGTTCAGGAAGTGACAGTAGCATCTTTGAAACACTGCATCTTACACTATGCAATGTATAGAAATATATTTCCAATGTGG